GGTCAGGGCTTTAACCCACTGCGCGACAGTGCCGCCCCCCCACCAAGTATATTTTAAAAATTGCTATATTTTCACATAAATACTGGTGCTGTCAAATTCAGACAGCCATTAAAGACACGAGTAATTTCAGATGACTACTTTAAGACCCCAACATCCTTTTGTTTTGATCACAAGTCAAATAACCTTACTCTAGCCTATTTAAAAAAATTCTAACTGAAATACCATTTCTTAAAGTAACAAATAAACATACGGCCAGTGCCCACTTGGCCAAGTGATTGATTCCTCCATCTCAGCATCTGTCCATGTGTTACCTGTTCTACTGCATCTCAGCCTTTACTGGCGTCTGAGGATCATCCTGCATCATCATCAAGTCAACCTGCTGAGGCTACCTCCTTTCACAGAGACTATGGCTTACTGAGTCACAGTTTTTTCTGGGCCCTGAGAACATGGTTTGAAGACTCTCATCTACTGAAACCTTAAGTGTAAATGAAATTTTAGTAGATTTAAATTCCATTGCTTTCTCTACAGGATCAATTACAGAAAGTTCTTGCATGCAGTTTTGGTTCTTGCTGCACCAGAAAGAAATCTCAGAAAGGCAAGCAGCCCCTGGTCTGTGAGGTACGCAACTTCCCAGTGGCATCTGTAAATCTATCCAACCATATCCAGGTTCACATGGTCTGGAAGGGCTCCTGCATTCCAGCTGTTCTAAGAGTTCACTGTGGGTGGTCAAAGGCGTGCTCTTCATGGTGCCGGCAGCCTGCACCTTGTCTTGGAGGCACTAGACCAAAGCAGCTATTCCTGCTCCCGCCCACCCTATCCCAGTAGACAGCCTTGCAGCACACAGGAGGCGATTCTTGATCACACTGCAAACAGAGAAGAGAACAGGCCTGGGGGCTGAGGAAACAGGAGACCAAAGGGGATGAGGAAGGCATAAAGAAAACAGTGCCTTTAAGAAGTGATGGTTCAGGGCAGTGCTGTGGCGTAGTGGGCTAAGCCTCTGCCTGCAGTGCCAGCATTCCAGATGGGTGCTGGTTTCTGTCCAGGCTGCTCCTCTTCCAATCTAGCTCTCTGCTTGTGGCCTGAGAAAGCAGTGTAAGATAGCCCAAGTCCTTGGGCCTGTGCACCCATGTGGAAGACCCGGAAGAAGCTCTTGGCTCCTGGCTTTGAACACTGTGGCCATTTGGGGAGTGAACCAGTGGATGAAGACTCTTCTCTCTGTCCTCCTTCTCGCTATAACTCTGCCTCTCAAATAAGTTTAAAAAAAAAAAAAAAGAAGAAGAAGAAATAGTGATGGTTTTTCTCACCATACAATCTTTGTGGATCAGTTGATAGATGAATCATTACTTGCTTGACAATTTAAAAATGGAGAAACACAGGGAATGCTTTTTAACTGCCATAGCTATTTAAAAGTATTATTCTAAACTAAGTACCAGGGGCCAGCATTGTAGTGAAGTGTTAAGCTGCCACCTGCAACATCAGCATACCATATGAGCACCAGTTTGTGTCCTGGCTGCTCCTCTGCCAATCCAACTCCCTGATAATGGCCCAAGAAAGCAGTGGAAGACTGTCCAACTGCTTGGACCCCTGCACTCACATGGAAGACCCAGATGAAGCTCCTGGCTTTGGCCTGGCTCAGCCCTAGCTGTCACGGCCATTGGGAAGTGAACAAGGAGATGGAAGAGATCTCTCTCTCTCTCTCTCCTTTCTTCCCTCCCTCCCTCCTTCCATCTCCCTCTCCCTCTATTTCTCTCCTTTAACCTCTCTCTGTTAACTTTGCCTTTTAAATAAATAAATCTTTAAGAAATTAAATAAATAATGAAGTACCTAGAGAGAGAGAAAGCTATGACACAGGCAAGCTTTTAAACACTATTGTCCCTCAAAAATAAAAATTATTCAAAACATTATAAGAGGGGCCGGCGCTGTGGCGCAGTGGTTAAAGCCCTAGCCTGAAGCGCCGGCATCCCATGTGGGTGCCAGTTCAAGTCCCGGCTGCTCCAGTTCTGATCCAGCTCTCTGCTATGGCCTGGGAAAGGAGTAGAGGATGGCTCAAGTCTTTGGGCCCATGCACCTACGTGGGAGACTCAGAGGAGGCTCCTGGCTCCTGGCTTCGGATTGGCGCAGCTCAGGTTGTTGCTGCCAATTGGGAGTGAACCAGCGGATGGAAGACCCTTCCACCCCGACTCTCCTCTCTCTGTGTAACTCTGACTTTCAAATAAAAATAAAGAAATCTTAAAAAAAAAAAAAAAGAACATTTAAGAATGATACAGGGAGCTAGTGCTGTGGTACAGCAGGTTAAAGCCCTGGCCTGTAGCACAGGCATCCCATATGGGTGCCGGTTTGGGTCCCAGCTGCTCTACTTCCAATCCAGCTAACTGCTATGGCCTGGGAAAGCAGTACAAGATAGCTCAAGTCCTTGGGCCCCTGCACCCACATGGGAGACCCGGAAGAAGCTCCTGGCTCCTGGCTTTGGACACTGCAGCCATTTGGGAAGTGAACCAGCGGACAGAAGACCTCTCTCTCTCTATCTGGCTCTACCTCTCTCTGTAACTCTTTCAAATAAATAACATAAATCCTTAAAAAAAAAAAAAGAATGATACAGAACAAATCTATGGTTCTCTCTCTCTCTCTCTCTCTAGATGTGCACACACATGCACACACACATGTATGTATTTTATACATATATAAATCTATTTGGGAATATATACACATATATTCATATTCATGTATGTGTGTGTGTGTGTGTTCCCAAATAGGTTTAACCTCCAGGTAATTTGATTACAAGACAGACATATTTTATAGTCTTTACTTATGTTGGTTCCATGGGAGGGTTGGGGGACAGTGGGGCAGAACTGAGTCTTTCTTTGAAAGGAACTTTTCTTTGTTAGGGAATTACAGTGACTGCTTTCCCCTGACTCCTCTTCAGTCCTTACATTCTTCTCAATGGTTCTTTGTAACATGCAGGCTCCAACCTTTGCTGCCACCACTTTCGATGTCACATAACACATTGGGAGATTAAGCCATAATAAGCCTAGAGGCAGACAAGAAACACTCAAACAGGGCAAAAGATATTTTTCTGCTTCTAGTTCGATTCAGCACAATTAGGGATTTCCCATGTGTGCTCTGGAACCACAAAGACTTCAGCTGGAATCCTGGCTCCACCATTTATGAGAGTATATAAACTTGGGGATGTTTCTTCATTTCTGTGCATTTCTAACTATTTCCTCATCTATAAAATGGGACAGTAACAGCTCCTCCCTTTCAACATTAACACAAGGACTGTAAGAGACATTTAACAAGACACTCAGCACAGTATCTGTACATAGTGAGCTGTCAGTAAATATTAACTACCCATCGTACCCTGCTTAACTCCAAAATTTCCCGGGTGTTATTGGGATTACAGAATTGTGCCCAGCCTCAGAATAAAAGTTTCCAACCACAATAAGGGTAAGTACTGTTTCAGGAATCTTTTTTCAGATACACACCCACTCCTCCACACCCCGACATGCACAGACACGCGTATTTGGCTTCATGCCCCTTTTCTGTGATGCTCTCCCTAAGGAACTTCCCACAAATAGCATATGTGTCTTGTCCTTGGGCACAACAGTATTTTGAGCATTTTGTATAGAAAACTCTACAGTTCATTACACTGTGCTTGTTTATGTCTGGCTCTCCCATTATAATGCAAACTGCAAAGAAATGCTTTATATTCCTGCTGTTGCAAAACACTGGGTGCTCAGTAAAGCTCTGTTAAATGAGGAAAAAGTCATCAAAATCTAACAGTTATTAAAAATCACAAAATAGTTAACCACTTTCACTTGCACCTGAGTTGATTCTACTTTTGCACAGAAATCTAAATTTATCTGTAAGCCAGAGTCCATAAATTGTCCTTTCTCCCAGTGCCTGGTATACTCCCTTCCATCTGAAAACGAGGAGTCAATGCTTACTTAAGAAACTGAGATGAGTAATGTGTACAATGATCTTTAAAAGGTAGAACATCAAAGCCATGAAGATGTGCCATATAGTTGGGGTTTCATCTAAGGAAATCTGCTACATTCATGCTTCTTTTTAGGGGGAAAGTTCAAGGAAAGTTATCAGGCAAAAGAAGTTGTTTCTAAATGACAAGTGGCGGAGGATCCCCTTTCACAGTACTGCAGGTAGCCACTGACAACAGTTGCCAGTAACAACTGGGCAGGTACTTGCTTCAGTACTTAACACAGATAGATATGAAGAACTGGAATACCTCTTAATATCCACATATTTTCACCATCATTCCCTACTCTATCTAAATGTAAAAATCAAAGTTACCCAAATTCACCAACTCTGCTTTTATTCCATTACACCAAAGCAAAACACTGGAATCAATTCTAAAGAAAACACTGACTTGTCACCATACTTACAGACATCAAAGGTCAAAAAGTTGACAGTATACTAAATCAAAAACTTGGTTTGACATTAGTCAAAAAAGAAATACATATGCAAATAAATATCTGCTCTAAAATGAGTGTTCCTTGATGGTGACCTTCTGAAATATTTGTTTCTAAATCATTAACCGCTTGACTGAGAAACTGACAGCTTCCAACTTTTTAAGATTACATCTCTCTTAATGACACAAGATTTAAAAAAAAAAGGGGGGGGGGGAGGGTACCTGCTACCCAGGGCTCAGTGTAACTAATGTGAATGATAACTTCAGCTACTCTAAACGTGATAAACCCCTAAGGAAAACAGCTATTTCAGAAAAGCTTCCTTCCTTTTGTCACCTTACATGTATATCTGAGGTTATTACAAAACTATTTCAAAGTAATTCATTGAGCTTGGATACAAAAGCCAAGTCTTAAGCGTTAACAGTAATTTATTTATTGATGGAAGAAACTAGATAAGCTGTGATTACAGTTTTAAGGAACAAAACCAATGAAGCTGGCAACAAGTTGTTGTGATTAAAAATGCTTCCCTACACTTGAAATAGTCATTTTAATGACCCTAGTAAGGGCAACAGCACTCACCAGTATGAATCTTCTCATGTCTCTGCAGCAGGTACTTCTGTATGAAACGCATGTCACATTGACTACATTGAAATGGTTTTTCGCCTTAAAATAATTTCACATCCGTAAATTAGTTATCGGATAAAACAACAGTTCTTACTTTACTATTTCTGAGGAAAGACAAATCTTAGAAATTCAATTTTGGAAAATTTCCAAATATCTTCACAAATTTTTGATATTGTTGATTAGCTTAACAACTTTATTTCCTCTCAAGTTTTCCCCCAGGATTTAAAAATTAACATTCTCACCATCACATAAAATTGAGACTGAGCCTGATTTCAGCCTTCAAGGAGAACAAAAAGATAAACAAAACAATTCAAAATAGAAATGAAAAACTTTGAGGACTCTTAAACCTCTCTTCTTTCCAATTTGGGACAAGATTCACCCATTCTGTTCTCCATGGCTCACCATCCCTGTCATATGACCCTTCAGCTATTTTCATCACAACCTTCAAGACTTCCTAATTTACTTTTTTAAAGAACTATCCCATCTCTTCAGCCTTCGCTTTCTGCTGTAGCTCTTCCTTTTAAGGAAAGCACTCTTTGTTCAGCTCTGTGCTTGGAAGCCCTGCATCAATCCTGAAACACTCCAGACTCGGTGCTTGCTCTGCTTCCCTTCCACCACAGCACCTGTGTAAAATGCAGTCTACCTTAAGTCTCACATTTTTTTTTGCCACCCACTTGTGTTCTAACCAGTATACTCTAGCTCCTGAAAACTTCTATGTGATCTTGCTATTTATTCCAAAGATTCTCCAGCACTCTCCATCCTGCCTGGGGGTTGTGGTATTGCTCACCATGCCCTGCTTGGAATTATCTGCTTTGGCGTCTGGGGCCCTGCAGCAGTCCATCAAATCTCCCTATTCACTCTGTCTTCCCCTCCTGACTCATCTTACATGTCAGTTAGTTTCCCACAGGTCTGTGATCAGTCTTTAGTTCTATTCTCTCTACTTCATGACCTTAGCTATCATTTTTTATATTTGATTTCCAAATCCATCTTTCAAACTCTGCCTGGACATCTTGCAGAGAAACGTGAGTGCTGACAGGCTCATTCCTCTAACGTAAAGGAATACTGTAAGCCAAACAAGTGCCCAATTAAAAACTATTTACTTAATTTCATACATCTATGCTAATTTTTTCTCATTTAAAGTTTTTCATGGTTTCCTTCTGACATTCTGGCTTATGAAATCCGATTTGGAATGCCAGGTTAGCTATGGTCTTCGGAATGAATGACACTTACATGAAGATGAAAATAACAAAGATAATAATTTTAATGGCCATAAGCCCATTTTAATTCAAGAAATACCTGTATGAATGAAGACATGTCTCTGTAAGTGATAGTTCGTTCTAAAGGCAGCATTGCAGTGCTCACAAACGTGAGATTTAGGGGTTTTCAAACCAAGTGATCCATCCTCATTTATTGTAAGGATCTAGTTTAAAAAAACAAAAGGCAAAAACAAAAGAAAGAAGTTTTAAAAATGTAATCAAATACTAATTTAAAAAATACAAACAATGATCATCAGATTATGAAATATTTTTCCTTAAATAATCTTGAGAAAGCTATCAGAATAATGTTATCATTAACTAAAGGAAAGTACAATGTGACTCATTATGAATAAAATCACTAATAAAACCTTGGAAGCTGGTTAAGACCATACCACTCTGCACCCTCCCCTGTCATGTTGGTGCTTAATGGAGTCCCTAATTGTTCTCTGCTAGGGTGAGCACATTTTTTCAATTTCAATGCTCATATATGTGGGGTAAAGTTTTTTGTTTTAGACACAGCCTAATTATTAATCAGTATGGGACTGGTTAAATAAAATCATAGATAACTAACACAATTTCATGTTTTGTAATTTTAAAACAAAATGAGAAAAGAGCTCTATATACTCATGTGGCAAACGTACCAGAATTTGTTTAAAAAGAAAAAAAGAAGGGGCCGGAGCTGTGGCGTAGTGGGTTAATGCCCTGGCCTGAAGCACTGGCATCCCATATGGGTGCTGGTTCGGGTACCGGCTGCTCCACTTCCGATCCAGCTCTCCACTATGGCCTGGGAGAGCAGTGGACAATGGCCCAGGTACTTAGGCCCCTGCACCTGCGTGGAGACCCGGAGGAAGCTCCTGGCTTCAGATCGGTGCAGCTCTGGCCATTGCGGCCAATTGGGGAATGAACCAGCAGATGGAAGACCTCTCTCTCTCTGCCTCTCCTTCTCTCTCTATTTAACTCTTCCAAATAAATAAATTAAAAAAGAAAGAAAGAAAAGCAATGTTTAGAATCTAACTTATCATTTTGTTAACTCTTTTATACAAAAGAATACAAATAGGAATGTACATTTATGTATTTATTAAAAACTGCTTGAGAAAGATATACATAAAATGGACATAACCTTTGCTATGATGGCTGGGGAAGTAGGCAGGCAAGACAGGAGGTAGGAGGGAGACTTTACATTGTACACTTCAAATACGTTTTTGAGTCATTTAGGTGCTGACCTATTTTTTTTTTCTTTTTTGTAAAGGAAAGAACTAAATCTTCAAGTCATCCTAGGGTAGAATTTAGAGTATGTTTCAGATTACTAAGGCTATTCCAGGTTAAGCATATTCCTAAAAATATTTGCCAAATAAATAAATTAGAGGTAGGCATACGGAAGGAAAACAGGAGACAAGGAATTCAATCTTATCATCCTGACTTGAGATGGAAACTCATGAGCCTGGTCTGGACAGCATGGGCTTCATGTTTTCCAATCTATTAACAACCTGTTCATCATGCTACAATTCACTGTTAAATCACCAAGCACATGGCAGAACGAAAATAATAAAAACTTTACTTCATTAGCAAGGATAGGGAAAAAAAGAAGCAGAGAGAACTAGGAGACAAGCTCAGAAGAAGCATGGCCTGCGAAAGTCAGACGACGGCGAAGGCGGGGCATACAGAATGAGAGCTAAGACACAGTCTCCAACACATGGCAGAGAAATCTAGAAGACACAGCAAGAAATACAACGCACCATGGAAGCTGATTAGGGCCTCAAACACACAGCTGTGTCGATTCCCTTTCAAACTGAGAATGCGGAGTATGTAAAGAAAAAAAGCCTTTAATTTTTACAACCATGTTTTAGTTTAAATTCAGGAAGACAGTACAGCCTATACTATATGCAAATCAGTGGTAATTATTACGCAAATTACACAGGGCATTTGGTTTCTGGGCAAACTGCCAATGTGGTCAACAATGCTTCAAAGTCTATGCACCAAAGTCACAGAAGCGAAACATTTGGCAGAAAAATGGAAGTGGGTGTCACAGCTTCCTGAACAGTCAGTGAAAATGGAAAGTTTCATCTCTGGCCAGTCTAAAATTTTTCCAGCCCTTCCAAGTCACATAATAATAATGCAAGTTAAGACTGTACCAAAAAAAGGGGGGGGGTCTTCTAAAGTATGGTTCAAAAATATTTCTTTTTTTATTTATTTATTTATTTATTTTTTTGACAGGCAGAGTGGACAGTGAGAGAGAGAGAGACAGAGAGAAAGGTCTTCCTTTGCCGTTGGTTCACCCTCCAATGGCTGCCGCGGCCAGCGCGATGCGACCGGCGCACCGCGCTGATCCGATGGCAGGAGCCAGGAGCCAGGTGCTTTTCCTGGTCTCCCATGGGGTGCAGGGCCCAAGCACCTGGGCCATCCTCCACTGCACTCCCGGGCCACAGCAGAGAGCTGGCCTGGAAGAGGGGCAACCGGGACAGAATCCGGCACCCCGACCGGGACTAGAACCCGGTGTGCCGCCGCTTCTAAACGGAAGATCAGGCCTAGTGAACCCGCGGCGCCGGCCGGTTCAAAAATATTTCTAACATAAAACAAATAAGGCCGTGGCTCACTAGGCTAATCCTCCGCCTTGCAGCACCGGCACACCGGGTTCTAGTCCCGGTCGGGGCACCGGATTCTGTCCTGGCTGCCCCTCTTCCAGACCAGCTCTCTGCTGTGGCCAGGGAGTGCAGTGGAGGATGGCCCAAGTGCTTGGGCCCTGCACCCCATGGGAGACCAGGAGAAGTACCTGGCTCCTGCCATCAGATCAGTGCGGTGGGCTGGCCGCAGCGCGCCGGCCGCGGCGGCCATTGGAGGGTGAACCAACGGCAAAAGGAAGACCTTTCTCTCTCTCTCACTGTCCACTCTGCCTGTCAACAACAACAACAACAACAAAAAAAAACCACAAATACTAAGATGTTAAGTATTCTATATAAAACAGAACTAAGAACAAGACAGCAGCAAGTATTTCTCCCCACATATGTTGATAACAAATAAGATCCAAATGCGAAAACACATGGCAGTTCAAATGCTTTCTGTGGCATAGCAACTGCAAGGAAAGGCTCTCTTCGGAACAAATCTGGCCCAAGCTCCTCAATGTGAAACGGATGTACTCCTTGACTATACAAAGCCCTTTCATGAACAGCTAAGGAGTTCTAGGTCATTGTTTAACACTGACTCTCATTTTGCAGTCAAGCCTTAAATCAAGGTGGATGTTATGAATGAAACACCTACCAGTATCTTGTGGAAAAACAGAATGAAAAAATCTAGCGTATTTACAAGTTCAATGACAGAAACACCAAATTCTTGAACATTTTAGAACATTTTATATTTTCTCTTCTTATTTTTAGGCCAGAGTAACAATCAGGTTTGTTTGAAGGACACAGTGTAAAATTCATCTTGCCCCAGACAAGTAACAATTAGCCCTTTAAATCTGCTATTTGTTTTCAGTACATCCATTCACTTTTATCTGTTTTATTAACCACCATAGCCCAGTGTCTACAGTGGTGTCTGGAGCAAAGTGGAAACCTTACACGGGAGTAAGGGCTGCTAACTGTCCATACTAAACAGCACTCAATGCTCACTATTTTATTATTTCTCAAAGTGATTGCCAAGAGCGATACTTCTCAACTGTTTCAGTCTTCAGACCACTGAGTAAAGGCCATGGGGAGGAGGGTATGCAAAGAACAAAGTTCCTCAATGTAACAAAAATAGCGCAGTGATGCAGGCAAAGTTTTCTTCCTTGGTATAGCCTTGGATTCTTTTCTTGTTCACACCTTTTCTAGATCGTTTAGTAAAAACATTTTCTTTCAGTTCAGTGTTTGTCTTAGAGCTCAGCAGTCTTACCTGATAATGGCATCATAAAATAATTTTGCTTTGCTTCTTTCCCAACAAACGGACACCAGTACAATTGAAGAATTTGAAGTGTTAAACTTTAAACCCTGACAAGGGCCGGCGCCGCGGCTCACTAGGCTAATCCTCCGCCTAGCGGCGCCGGCACACTGGGTTCTAGTCCCGGTCGGGGCGCCGGATTCTGTCCCGGTTGCCCCTCTTCCAGGCCAGCCCTCTGCTGTGGCCAGGGAGTGCAGTGGAGGATGGCCCAAGTGCTTGGGCCCTGCACCCCATGGGAGACCAGGAAAAGCACCTGGCTCCTGGCTCCTGCCAGCGGATCAGCGCGGTGCGCCGGTCGCAGCGCGCCGGCCGCGGCGGCCATTGGAGGGTGAACCAATGGCAAAGGAAGACCTTTCTCTCTGTCTCTCTCTCTCACTGTCCACTCTGCCTGTCAAAAAAAAAAAAAAACAAAACCCTGACAAGCCTGAGATAACACTTTCAGATCCTGTCATTGCAACTTCAGGGGAAATATGGTATACTGTAAAGACCTAGCAATCACACTTTACCAAGTGGAGAAATTTGGAATAATTTATTATGCAACACACTTGATTTTTTTTCTTACCTGTTTAATAAATGTTAAAACAGAAACATTTCAAACCAAATAGAATCCCTCAGTTAACCTGCTTCTTAGTCTCCAAGTCTACTGAGGAGATAAATATTTAGACAAATCTGTTCCAAGCTAGCCACATATATATTCTCATATAAGTGGTGACAGTTATCCTAAATCATCATTCTCACTGGTAAAGCCCTAAGTTGTTTAAGTCTGGTATTTTTTACTCCTCAAAGATCAATGCCACTGAATATCTGAAACCAGACACCTTTCAGTGAGGAAACGTTTACTCTCCGGAATGGCAGACATGATTTTCCACATCCTATGTATCGTTTCCTAAAATTACTAAAGCGTATTTTAATGACCATAGACTTCATAATTCCTGAATCAATCGAAACTGATTTCTACATCATCAAAACCCAAAAGACAACCCAAGAGAATTCAAATTTTTCATCTATGATTAGTTGTGTTACTGTAACCAAAGTAGGAGAGCAAGACCTTTTAAAATTCTCTTTGCCAAATTCAATTAGAAATGGAGGACTGCAGGTAGGCGCCGCAGCTCACTAGGCTAATCCTCTGCCTTGTGGTGCTGGCACACTGGGTTCTAGTCCCGATCGGGGCGCCAGATTCTGTCCCGGTTGCCCCTCTTCCAGGCCAGCTCTCTGCTATGGCCAGGGAGTGCAGTGGAGGATGGCCCAAGTC